CTACTACTACTACTACTACTACTACTACTACTACTACTACTACTACTACTACTACTCTGTGCTAAGCTAGTGCTCAAATTCTCCTAGAGATTCTGATGGAACATCATGACACTGGCCAAACTTCGATGGAACAGTAAACATGAGGTTGTTCAGCCTATCTTCATGAATGTTGCGAACATGCTAAAAGGGTTGCAATAATCCAATTGGCCCCCTAGATGTGTCCCTGATCTTCGTGCTCGTGGTTCACTGAAGAACGTTCCAAGGCATCAACAACTGAGCAATACGTTTCTTGAATGGATCGGGATGAAAGGTCTTCGGCCTGCACTTATCAAGCTGATATCTTCGGCTGAGTTCTTTTCATCGTGTTTCAATTTCCGTTCTTTAAGGGGCATCTGAACATAACAAAAATCTGATCAGACGCAAAATCGACCGAAACAACTTCACACGACCTACCCAGACCAACCTTGTCCTGGACAACCAAACAGGTGCAAGCTGTACCGATTACTTTCAACTCTTTCATGGCTTTCAGCCCTTAAATGCTGGCGTTTTGGTGCCAAACCCCACGGTGTCACTGTCCGCCGAACCCATTGGAATCAGGCCAGTGGCTGCTTGAAGCGCTCATCATAAGCCACGCTGGGCCTCCCAAAGATCATCTCAAAGGGCTGGGCATCCCTCTGAAGGCCACTCAGCAAACCCTTGCCTTCCTTCCCCAACTTGGCAAACCCCTGTCAGCCTATGAGAACATGTTGTTGCCTGTACAGCTTCAATCCATATCAATCCCTTCTCCACCTAGCCTGTCTGCATCCAGCCAAACCTTCGCAGAATCATCCGTTACCTGACAGGATAAATATCAATGCAAAGTCATTTGTCCCAAAGGAGTTGTGGCTTTTGCAGGAGTGACCGACTGTTGTATTAAGCGCTCACGCGGTATGCATCATATGTGTCTAATTCACACGTACTCGTACTTCCCACGGCCGCAGACGTGTGCGAAGTAGATGTAGCTGACGTCCTATCCCTGTATGGTCCAGGTCAACTCCAAAGGCTTTTCCGACTGATCCACATCACTCGCCTGCTGCAAGCTGCATCAAGCAAATATATATGTACAAATAAATTGTGGAAAATTAAATAGCACTTTGCAGGTGATTTGTCTGTCTTGTAGTGCCCGCGAAGAGGAAACATTGATGTCTCTTGGTTTTAACCCTAAGATGGAAAAAGTAAAAATTCATGCAGTAGGAACACCGGAACACCATGTTTGTCGGACATGTCGAGCCAAATTTCGTGCCTGGTTGGCTTGGTGTCCTGCAAAGCAGGCGACTGCAGTTCTGATCCACTTCACATGTTTTTGTGCCTTCAAGAGATTCCCCAAGACAGCAAAAGTAGAATCGAGTATCTTGTTTGGATGGTTTGTCTTGAGTCACGCCAATGTCAGTTTCAGCAGGTCAGAATTGGAAGGACGTTCAAACCTTTTGAGGGTGTCCATGATGCTTTCGGAAACTTGTATACAGTAATTGCACGCATTGCGTAGCCATGACAAATTTCGACATAGAACTTGGACCTTCGTTTGGGAAAGAGCTGAGCCCAAATCTTGCACCTGATAGGCCTGATGGGCTAAATCTTCCACCATTCCCGATTTCGACAACTAAAGATACTAAAGCCAAGGGTCGCCAAGGTATTCGGCCACTCCACTCGCATCGCGCTCAACGGAGCGTCTGAACGCCGAAGCTTCGGAACGTCTCCTCGAGTTTCACTTCGTACCGCCCCGACCTGGGACCGGGGTAAAGTCTTGAAGGAGTGCATAGTATATATATATATATATACATATATATAGTACATATAATACATATGGATGATATACATGAAAAGTTTGGCTCAAGGCAAAGGGCATAGGACTCAAATATATCTGTACATCATCATGTATATATATATATACAGATGATATACATATAGATTAGATGATATACACAGATACAGATGATATACAAATACTAATATATTTGCAGATAAAATACATTTAGATCACATAGATATAGATGATAGTGATATACATGAAGAGATATGAACAGTTTGTTTCTTGAATCTTTGGGTTAGGGCTTGAGATTGCTAGTGCTGCCGATTAAAACACCTCGCGTGCCCCAGTGGCCTGTATGCCACGCCTTTTGGCATGCTGGCTCTGCACTTTCTTAATCAAAAGCACGTGCAGGGCCATGAGAGGCCAGGAGAGTACAAGCAATGAAGCCACCTTGAATGGTGGCTTGCAGGTGACCCTACAAAGCTTCAGACACTACCTGAAGTAAATGCGAGGAGAGCTGCGCAAATGCGCAGGGCGTAGGAGGTGCCAATGTGATGTGATGGCCTGCGCGCGCGCCCGCAGGAATACAGTGGCGCGTTTGTGACTTGAAATCCCGCGCCTGTTTTCCAATCCTGACTGCGGCTGGTCAGCTGAGAAGCTGCTCCCGATTTTCTTGGTGTGAGCGCTTGGCAAGTGGACCGTACTCAGCTCGTAGGTGCACAAGCCCACCTTTTGTTTGCTGTTGGCCTTTCTTGCCTTTTCCTAGGATGTAGGCCTGTAGTCTCGCATCCATTTTTGATTTGGCTGCTTGGAAACAAGGGCTCGAAAGTTCAGCTGATGCTTCACCTTGGCGAGGGCCTGTGTTAATTCGGTGCAAGTGCGGCCACGGGCGACCGCCTTCGGCAATCGCAAGAAGAAGAAGAAGAATCTTTGGGTTCTGTCTTTGAGGTGAACCTCGCGTACTCTACGTATGAACGGTTAGGAGCCCCAACAGCTGCTGAACACAAAGAAGGAAGACGAAGAAGAAGAAGGAAAAAAAGAATTGGAAAAGGATGAATTGCCTGAATTGCCTACATTCGATCCATCCCCGCTGTTTCTCATCATTCTTCTCAACTCCTTCCCCTATCCCCTGGCCGAAACACGGCCAAGTCACGTGGGACATGGAAGAGCGTGGAGGATCCATCCTTAGTTCCGCCGAGTGATCGACCACGGTCGGAACTTCGGGGGGTGATAGTCACTTCCGAAAGTTGGAACAACATGGAACAACATGGAACAACAAACACAATGTGTCACATGATATCCAAAGTAATGAACGTTCCCGAACTTCTGCTCCAGCAAAAGAGCTTGTCTTCAAGTTCTTTGGATCCTACAAGGAACGGTCAAACCCTCTGACCATCCGGGAGAGTTGCTTTTCAGACCAGAATCAGATCTCGTATCAGTTTGATTTTGAAACTGACCCCAACAAATCTGAAAATTGTTTGAGCGAAAACCAATGATGTTGTTTCACTATACTAACCAGTCTAAACCAGTCTACAGCCAAAGGAAATTCAAACCTCAGACAACTCTTCCCCTTCAGACAACTCATGCCAAACCTCCTTGGCTCCCGCACGGTCTTCTATCCTCAACGGCCGAATCCTGCTTGTCCGGTGCGATCAAGTCGTGAAATCAAAACCCGGCTGCCGAACACAAAGCACTCACTGGGGATTCTTTCTATAGAGCCTATAAAACACTTGAGATAGGAGGGGGTGAACGGGGGTGGAGCAAGGAGAACTCAGGTAGCCGAAGCTACCTTTCGTGAATATAAAACGCTGTCCAATTCTGCCTGAATCACCCAGGCTCACTGCCGGCTCACTGCCTTCATGTGGCGTCTCACCTCATCGGCAATGCTCATTGACACCTGGACAGTGGGCAGCCCCCGGACGGTTGTCTTGGGACGGTCTTCCAGCTATGCATAGTTACGTAATTAAGTAGAATGCTTCCTTTTGCAAGTGCAAAAGGAAGTCATACTTGACTTGGAATTCTCCGGATATCCCTCAGAGCTTCCCTCCTTCCCCAACCACGAGCTGCTCGGCATCAGAAGGGGGGCGAGGGTGGCCGCGTTTTATTCTCCCGCCTCCTTGCGAAGGCGCGAGAGCTGGTCTGCCAAACTCCGGCATTGGGCCTGGAACCCGTGTGGATGTATGGGAGATTGAACAGGCAAACATCCTTTTTCTATCCTGATTGGTTGGCAAAAATCCAACATGACATGGGCGTTGAGGGGTCCAAACACTGCGGCTCTTCTCCGGGGTCAGTGACCTCCCCCGCTCACGTTGCACCAAGTCTTGCACGTCGGGTCACCGGCCTTTTGGGCCATTGTTCGTGGGGCCGGGGCGTTTCGGGGCGGAGGAACGGCGATCCCATTTCGCGGGATGTTCTCAACTGTACATGACCAGATTCACGAGACTCTACCGATGACCGGACCGATCCAGGATCGGTGTGAGGTTTTTGCGAGAGGTGTTGGGCGAGAATGGCTTCTGTGAGGTACCGATTGTCAAATCTTTACTGAACATCACGGTGACTCTTAGTGAATAAGTCCTCTCTTAGGGAGATCTTTCACGTTTCACCAATCTTTTGAAATCGGACATGATGAACATGAATTACAAGATATTACAAGATCTGCACGTTCCAAATCTGCTCACTGGCATATTCCACAGATCCACCCAGCTGCCATGGCCGCCTCTGACTCTCGCGACTGTCGCATGACCTGCTCAAGGTAGACGCCCACCTGACGCCATGCGCATCGTAGAGCCCCGAGCCGAGGATGAAGCATCGGCAGATTCGCAATTCTGATCATTCTTGGGTCCAATTGGCATTCTCTTACCCGGAGCTCGTTGGACTGTTCTTAAAAACAGTCAGAAAAAGAAGCGGGTGCACCCCTGCGGCCCCGTTTGCGGACTGCCTCTTGTTTGAAGCTTCCCATGGATCGGTCTTGTTCCACGACTGGCATCAGCTGACATTGCATCTCGAGGATCTGCTGCGAGAGCGAATGCCTCAGGATGCGGCTGCGCCGGCCCAAGCGGCCACCAAGAGCATTGGTCACACATGAAAGTGCTGGAAAGAAGTATGTGTATATATATATATTGTATGTGTATATATATATGGTGTGTATATATATATATGGTGTATGTATATATATATATATATGGTATATGTATGGTGTATATGTGCCTTGACTCGCTGCCTGAAACCGCTAATTGGTGAGTGAGAACCCCTTCGTCTTTGAACAAAAAGACCTGGCGTGGAGCTACGGTACCATCCCTTCAGCACCCCCACTGAGATTCTCTGATTTCATGAAGATGGCCACCATGGTGCTCCTGGCGACATCGCTTTTTCAGAACCAACCAGGACTGCACTCCCATGGCAAAACTGATGAGAAGCCCATGGGAAAATCCCCAAAATCTCAGAATCAATGCAGAAGATGTCCAGGATGCCAAGGTCTTCACATGTCTTGTCTCGTGTCTCCCATCCAAGTTCAATCAGCTCCTCCCGTGTTTGCTCCTCCAGCTGCGCGAGTTGATGCGCAAAGCCAGTGGCGTCGTCGACGCAGCGCTCCGCCACCTCCTGGCCGGGTTAGGATCAACGGCTGTGGAGTTGGACCGGTGAGGACCTCCAAACAGGTGGGTTTTCACTCACTTCGATGAATAGGGAGTGTATGTGGAATCAATATCCAACCAAAAGATCCAAAACAACTCAGCTGTGGAGTTGGACCCCTCCCTTCAGCATTCACATGACTCGACACATGACTCAGGGAGCCAAGAGTTCGAACGAAGTGGTAAAGCCAAAGCTGCAAACTGCACTCAACGATCTTTATTGCCTGGTATCCCCATGACCCCAATGGTGAATGATCACAGCTTCTCGATAGCGTCGTTTGGCTCCTGTTGCAGCTGAAGAAGGTCCTTTGGGACGGTGCAGAAAGCATGGCTTGTTCACTAAAATGTCATGAAGATTTCCCTACATCATGTGTCTCAGACTGTATATTCCTGCTCATCCCTTCTCCGTTCTGGCCCACCCACATGTCTTAACATGTCTTCACTTCATGTCCACAAGACACCTCTTGCTGCCACTAGGCAGGAGCTCCCCTGACATCACCCCAACTCAGGCGGATAAGGCAGTCAGGAGAATGCAATCTCTCCGACAACTAGGAAGCAAAGCAACACGGCACACTGTCTGTTGCCCTCTCCTGCTGCGTTCTGGTCACGTGGTCGGAGAGCTGCGCCATTTCCCGCGACAAGTGCTCAAAGTTCTGGTTCACCTCTGCTAGAGGCTGCTAGAGGTGCTCCCCGGGCGCTGGCCGGAGCCCTCAACTTAGTCACTCAGTTCCTAAATCCGGAACGACCGTTGACCCCGAGACCGTTGACCCCCGAGACCGTCAACCAAGTGCACCAGGCGCTGCCAGGCATCCCATGGAACCATGGGGATGTAGGCTTTGACCGAACTTCCAATCTTGCGCAACCCTAAAGAGGGCGAACCTGTCAGCTTTAGGACGCGAAGAGATATGTGTGTGTGTGTACAGTGCATTTATAATGGCTTTTTCTCAGGATGCCCATTCATTACAAAGTGCATTGGACAATCCTGAGGAGATCACCGGTTCCATCACCCCCTGAATGTCCGACCCGCCTGGCCTGGTTGATGACACACATGAGGTTCGCTCTCTCATGTTCCATGTCCGAGGCAGTCTTTTGAAAAGCTGCCCGTGCCTGGCGGCCGTGTCCAGTACAAGAGGTCCACTCTCACAAAGCATAAGAGTTGAGAATCTGTACACAGTGCCACTTGCAGACGAACGCAGAGAACAAAAAACCTGGACATCATGAAGAGCAATGCCCCTCCCTCCGTATCCCACTGTCTACTTGAAGCATACAACTGCTTCGATTCAAACGATGCATGAAACATGAAGCCAAGTGTTGATTGCTAGGGGTGCCAAAAAATGAGAAATCAAATGGCCTTGCTGGCTTATCAGTCCCAAGTTTCGCACAAAAAGGAATCTGAAGGAAGATTCGAGGCCTTCTCAATGGCATCGTCAGTCCGTTCTTGAACTTGACGCTGGGTCTTCTCAGCCTCACGGATCTTAGAAGGTTCAACACCACCAAAAAAAAGAAAGAGAAAAGAAGTGTAGACAGAATTTGAAGGACTGTTGGGTGGTCAATCTGGATGAGCTTGGGTTATCATCCTTACTGATCTTATCACATTTCAAACAGATGAGTACAAAAATAAATTGTTCCAGCAGTGAGCACTGTTGGGTGCTACTCCATGGCTTGCATGGCCAAACCATGCCAAACCCATTATGGTCATCCTTACCCAAGCCAACCAAAGAGCTGCTTCATTGGAGGCGTTGTGTGACCACTCCAGTGCAACGTCTCATTGGAGTACGGAGATTTGGGATTCCTAAACGTCTTCTCTGCCACAAGCAACAGCGAACGTCTTCTCTGATCTGTATCTCCAAGAATTTGTGGCAATCAAGAAAGGGCTCCTGAACTGACGCAACAACTGGTGCAGCTGCTCACATGGAAGCAATTCTGACAAACACAACAGTGCGATACATTACATCAATACAACTAGATGGGATACTCTTAAATGTCCTTGGCATCTTTGGCCTGAGCCTAAGGGAAACCTCCATTGCGCCCTTTCCGCACGCGGTGTCGCCGGCTAAACCTACCCACCTCATAGACACGTTCGGACAAGCAGTCCAGCCTTTGAAGAGACACAAAATGTCAGGACGACTTCTGGAGATATCTCTCTGAAGATTTATTTGCAGAAGATGCCTCGATAAAAGGAGTCTCCAAGACGACTTGGGTTTTCCCCTGGCTTCTTTGAACATTGATGAGCACTGAAGCATACTGAGGCTGTTTTGGGGGGCGGGGAACTGCCGAGATATATAATTATATATGTACATCATCATCATCATCATCATCATCATCATCATCATCATCATCATCA